CTTTGGGCGTCTATTCAAGCTAGTGGTTTGAGTAGATGACGGATGTGAAACAATTCGACCTTCAACCACAAATCTATACTACATAATAATAAAACTGCAGAGTATATTTCTTTGGTCTCTGAAACTAGTAGTACGAATTGAAATATTCAATCTACGCTACCACGCGAAAAATGAAATGTTGAATAAAATTTTTTTAGCAACGGGACAGCACTCTGTAATACAAAATTAGACCTCGTAAAATTATTTAATCTGTATATAAGTTGTTCTCTGCTCTTATATCTATCAATTTCCAATTAACTAGTTATTTGATGTCTTTATTATATTAACAGGATGTATGTTATTTAATTAATGTGTGTATGTAATTACCACATGGATGCTTATAGTAATTAAACTGTTCACACATCCGTGAGATACATTATGGCTTCAGTTGAAACTCAGCGCAGTGGTCGCTTTTAGAGACCATAGCAAAGGCTGAGTTGTGGACCTTTAGTCACACACAGTGATAATTTTATTCTTTCGTAATTGTTTGTTTTGTTGTTTTTGCTATTCTTTAGTTTAGCGAAGTGTTGCTTTTCTTTTGTTTTTCTCTTTTAAGTTATATCCCTATTTTTTTTCATGTGTGTTGTGGCTAATAAACGTATTTTCTTTCTTTCTTCTTTCTTATTCCTTTTGAGAAACACAGGCGAAGTTGCGCTGTTCAGTTAGAACCTTAACAACTTCAAAGTCTGTAGTATAGCCACCTAAGGGTAAATACGCCCTTAAAAGGGATGGTCTCTAGTTAACCATCAATTTTAAGACGGCCAATCAATCAATCAATCAATCATTCATAATCTGTCCGTGCGGTGACAGATTAAGAATACGAAGGATCACCGACCACAATCAATCCCGTGGGTATAAGAGCCGACTAATCCTGTCCGTCTGGCCAGCGTGGTATGGTAGGCCAAACTCTCCTTTCTAAGGAGAGACCTATGTCCAGCAGTTAACTATGAAAGGCTGTTGATGAACCAATTAATTAATCACATCATGAGTCATGTTCCCCTAGTAACTAATGTATGAAAAGATCTAAAAATTGGCCTACAAGATGATTACATGATCAATAACCCAAGATGCAAATAGCAAGACAAACAACCGTTCTGATGTCATCATACAATGAGTTATCGATTGAAAAAATAAATAAAAAGATTAACTTTGAAATAAATATACCTATCTATGTATGTATGAATGTATCTATATGCTGAAAGTTCGACCGTGAAGTTATTAAGTCCGTCTGTAGGTAATCCTCGTAGATAGATTTACGAACTCATTATATTAATAGCAGTAAATTTGGTAGACCACACAATCATCGACAGCCTATAACAGTCCTCCTTAGAAAGGAGGTTTTGGCCTATTATACCACGCTGCCCAGACTGGTTGATATAGGGTTTGTTTCAAGTTTTCCTTGTCTTTGCAGTGCTGTTGCCCTGCGTAGTTTGCTCCCTTAGTCGGCTCTTACGACACCCACTTGATGAATGGGGTGGTGACATTCCGTATTCTTAATCCGTCACCACACGGACTAACAATAACAAATCAATATCACAAAAAATCTATAAAAGGAAGTAATAATCGCTTGACATTGGTTTCTATATTGTTTTAAATACATTATTTGTACGTGACTTTTTTCTAGTAGTGACATAATAGAAATAGCTAAAGTATTTCGTGTCTATGTCAACGCAAACACGTCGTATTGTTGATTATACTGATAGTTATCATGACTACTGCTGTTATGTTCATTTTTTTTAAATTATTGCTTTGCTTTTGATGTTGGCTCTAAGCCCGCCTATAAAAAAATAATTAAGGTAATATTTAAAATATATAATAAACTACCTGTGGGCAGCATTTTGGCAATTTTTGTAAAATATCTTTAAAGTCCAATATCTTGAAAATGGTTAGGTTTGGGATATGGTATTTAATAGTGACATCTATCAGAAATAATGGCAACTACAACCCCTTAAAGTATCTAAGTTCATTTACTCTGAGCATAGATAAATGTTTATAAATATTCTTTTTAAGATTTTTAGTATTATCCATGTGATATGTGACGCACAGATTCATTGCTTTTCAACGAGTGACTAAATTTACCGACGCCTATGCCCCCCTCTTCTAACTCTTTTACTCTAAGGGCGGCAAGGCACTTGTATCTCTTGAGCTGCTCATTGTCTATGGGCGGCGGTGGTCACTTACTATCACGTGACCCGTCTGCTCGTTTGCTCTCCAATACTATAGAAAGAATACTCCTGTGCAAAATCGTACCAAACCTATAATAATTAGTGTCTATTACAGAAATACATAAGGCCTGAAGTATTTGCGAAGAAGTTAAAAAAGTAGCACTGATAGTTTAGCGGTGATACTGTGTGCTTAATTCTACATAAGTGGTCAAGAGTTATGTGGGATAGCCATGTTTAAACAATTATGGACCGGACTGGATTCGACCAGTGCGGCGGAGGTCACTTAGTGAAATGCTACGGCCGTCGTATCACTCCAAGTGAATGGGCCCATTTGTATTAAAACTTTAAAAGTAGGGATGGAATACAGTCATTCGTTATAAATCATATGATTTATAAATCATATAATCCTACCTGTGACTTATTTACAAAACCACTGCGACTTATAATTACGCTAGCGCCAGACTCTCGCAAGGTATACATCTAAATAAAAAAGGTAGGTCTTTAATAAAAAGTATGGTTATCTCTTTGCTTAAGTTTTGGTGGCATTTATCTTTGTCTATGACCAAATTCCAGTAGTGATTTATCACAAGTGAAATCGCAGTAAATAAAGCCAACCATCATAAGATACTGATTTAAAAATAGCAATAATTACCATCACTATTTAAAAGTCAACGATTTTGAGTTAACGTCACGTTACAACTTGATAACACCCATACACACACACACACACACACACACACACGCGCCCTCACAGCGCAACCATTCGTATATATATTTTTAATGCAAAATCTTTTTACTGTTTACTCATTCACACACTCTACTACGCTTTTGACATGTTGACAAATCTGCTAAGTGTGATGTAATGGGGGGCCTGGAGATCTATGGTACAGGCCTCGGCTTAGTTTAGACTCCAGATCTCCCACAAATTGCAAATTTCTTGACAGTTTTCCTGTCAACTGTTAAATATAAAACAAAATGTAATTTGTGGAGATGAAATAAACATTTTTATTATTATTATTAAAAATAAACAGTTTATTGTATAATTAATATTAGCTTAATACACTTTTCTTAGGTACCTTTTTGACGTTTGAGGAACAATACAACAAAGACATTATAAAGGAACCAATAAAGTTTATTAAGTCAATTGATAACTCTTCAAACAAATTTTTTACAAATTATTTTATATATTCAAATAGAAAAGCTTTTAAATGCTAAACTTAATTGCATACTTTTAATAACTTTCTCTATCTTTTTTTGTGAATTAATGAGAATTAATTATGATGACAACATGTGTTGTCAATTTCTATTTTCACTGCACAGCACAGAAACAGAGTTTACAACCTGGCCTTTAAATATCAAGAAGAACATTCTGGACACGTGACCTTGACTCAAACTCTAAAAGATGACCTTTTTATTGTAACGGAGCATACGCTAGGGTCCCTGATGGTAAATAACAAACCAGCCCATGGACACTTGCAACTAAAGGGAACTGGCACTGGCTTTTAGAGTGCCAGAGTCTTTAGAGAGCCTACTTCTAGTAGGGATGGCAAAAATGACAATCTTTGTGGTAAATCATATGATTTATAAATCATATCACCACACCAGCGACAGATTTATAGAGCCACTGATATTTAATTATTCTTATTACGCTAACGCAAGACTCGCGAAAGATCTAAATCTAAAAAAAAAAACTCGTAATCTTTAATAAAAAGAATTTTGATTGATTTTAATGGCATTTACCTTTGTCTATGACGAAATAACAATCACATGTGAAATCGCTGTTAATAAAACCAATCATTACATCAAATCAATATGATTTAAAAGTAGCAATTATTTCCATGTCTAGTTAGAAGTGGTAGAGGACTCCGATGACCTCATTCAGGTGGTAAAATGGACGAAAGAAGAGCATAACACCGATGTGTGGTATCACTCCGGTCGAGCCGGTCTGACTACGGCACAGAATAAACACTATTATTCAAATTTTTATATTTTTCTGTATGGATAGTTCTCGAAAGGCCTCTCAAGAGGGATGGCAGTTTTTTTTTTATGTTAGGGCGTGGATGTATTAATTATTGTTTGTGGTGCAATGTTAATTACATCTCAGAAGTTACAACCAGAAGACAAATTCTTGTAGTAATTGTTCGGTTACAATTCAGTTCAGTTCCAGAAGGAATTTTCATAGTAAAGTATCAAACATCCAACGTTAACTGTAATGTGATTATACCGTATTGTAATCGAAAATTGAATGGGTAATCTGCTAGTCTTAGTAATACTTTACTATTTTACTATGAAAATATATTTTATTACGGTTACAAGATCGAGAATTGACCGGAACTGAATTTTGACCGAACTTTTATTACGAGAATTGACCTTCTGGTCTAAATGACAATCTAGTATTTAGAATGAATTCATTCTACTGTTTACTTTGGCTTTATAGATGTTAAAATCTTATGTTCCTTTTTTATTTGTCATTTTTCACAAACTACTTTTATAAACATTTAAATAAGATTTTGATGAACACTTAATGCTATTAATTTAGAAGAAACAGTTTATGTGTCTGTTTCAAGTTCCAATATGAAGTATTTTATATTAGCTTTTGCTAACCGATATGTTTGCGTTATTGTCAATTTCTTCAATATTTTGCCCTGATAGTCATTTATATACACAATATATCTCTGTCGCAAATTTTATCCAGATCCCGCAGCCGTTTTGATATGATGAGTTATGATGTGTAGTACTGAAATTTTTAGTCCATTATTATGTGTAAATCTGTACTATGGTTGGGATATCGCTCACCTGTCCATTGATTTGAGCGGACACTAGGAGCACCCTGGCGGCTCGGTGCACCTCCACAAGCTCGCCAGGTAGAGGAGTGGGCGCGCCTGTCGGTTGGAACCAAACGCAGGCGCCCTCACTCCACTCTGACAGGCCCCCGGAGCCCGCCATGCTGTAAATTAAAAAGTATATTAATTTTAAATATTTATGATGATCTAAAAAGTATTGTTCGTCAATGGAGTAAATGTTATGCTTATTACATTAACACCAGAAAGAAAAGTTAATAAATCTCTTTATAACTTGACGCATCTTATACACGATCAGATCCCAAATTAGCCAGAAGTTGTGCTATGGTAACCAGACTGCTGTAATTAAATGCATTAGCAAATAATTATAAAACAAGACACATGTACGAGTAGGTACATAGTCCATGGGATAATTAAGATAATTTAAAAAAGAGAAGAAAATATTCTAGTATGTTTAGAAGTTCTCTATACATATTTCTAAACGTGACAAATGGCTATTTCTGAATTACATATACGATAAACACAAGTGCGATAAACAATGTAATGTTTGTAAATCAGATTGCATATTTTCGTATCGATGTTGCTCAAAATTCTGGAGTAATACGTAAGTATAAAATGATGGCGTTGGTCAAATTATTCAAGTTCAAGAACAGCCGTCACCAGTGGAGGTGACTAGAAACATGATCCTGTTTTTATTATTGGCCGTAGCACAGGTATTTATTCGTTTTCTTTTTAATCTTGCAAAACTTTCAATCAATATCAGTTTTACATGGTTGGTCCTTTGTACTTTATATGTATACTAATTATTATAAAGCTGAAGAATTTGTTTGTTTAGTTCAACGCGCTACTCTCAGGGTCAACCGGTTCGAATTGTAAGATTCTTGTAGTGTTGGATAGTCCATTTATCGAGGATGGTCTATATAAGTGAAAAATACTGCAAAAACAAAGAAAATTTATTCGTTTTTTAGAGACGCTGACGAGGTTTTTAGTCAACCCCAAAAGTCGGAATGTTCCAATAAACAGTTTCGGAAATTTATCTCATCCCGTTTTTAACGTAGGTTTTTTAAAATAGTTTACAATTTTTGTGTCGTGTTCTTTTCAAGTTGCAAATTTAAATAACACAGCTTTTTTTCATCAATCATTGTAATTTTTTCAAACATCGCTACGATTTAAGATAAATCGATTTAAGTTTAAAAAATTAAATGAATTTTTATCTTATTTCAGTGTGGAGTAAACGCCCAGTTCTATTTATACGACCCTTGCACATCAACAGCAACACTATTATCGCCATCAAGCCAATATACAGCACCACCTTGCTCTTGCTGCTCTCCTCCACTAAATATTCCTGCACCGCCCTCGTGTCCAGTCTACGTCACATTACCCCCACAACCCCCACTATGCGTCACACCGCCACCTTTGCCTCCTATAATGATAGAGCTTCCTTTACCCCCACCAATGACAGTTTCACCTCCCCCATCGCCACCGTTCTTTGTAAATCCTCCTCCGCCCCCACCCTTGACCGTAACTCCGCCACCGATACCCCCAATTTGCGTCACTCCTCCTCCATTACCTCCCATGTGTGTAAATCCACCAACGCCGCCACCGATGTACGTTAACCCTCCTGTCCTTCCACCCATCATACTTGAATTGCCCCTGCCGCCTCCAATTATCATCGAGTTGCCTGCTCCGCCACCAATTGTCGTACAGCCCCCACCGTTGGGTCAACTGATGATTCATCCGCCTGCATTACCACCGATGCCTGTCCAGCCGCCTCCGCTACCACCGATGATGGTTCAGCCGCCTTCGCCGCCGCCTTTAATGATTGAGCTGCCACCACCGTCGCCAATAAATATACAACCACCTCCTCCACCGCCGATGTGTGTCCAGCCTCCACCACCATCTCCAATAAGCGTACAACCACCACCGTTGCCTCCAGTATGTGTACAACCTCCGCAACCACCTTCGATGTATATACAACCTCCACCGATAGAACCTTTCTGTTTACAACCCCCGCCTCCGTCTCCCATCTGCTTCCAGTCTGGTCCGCCTTGCGGGTGTGGTTGTTCACCATCACCGATCTACTTGTAGTATTTGCAACAGTTATTCGTTAATTAGTTATAATAATTTTATTTGGTGTATACATATTGTATAATAGTGATCCATAACTTAAATATTTTAAACAATATTTAAAAAATACGTTTAGAACTGGGAGAAGAATGTTATAAATAAATACGAAATCATAAAAAATAAGATTTTTATTATGTGGTATAAAGCAGCTTAAAAGAAAAATAGTATTTTCTCGAAGACTGGAATTATTCGTCACAATCAAATGTGATTCCCTACGCCCGTGCTACTGAATCATATAGTCCGATTATTCAAATGTAGTCAGTCAGTTTACTTTCGATTTTTTTGTTTTTATAATTCCATTGATCTTACTCGTATCAGTTAATTTTTTTAACCAGTTTCTAGTGTGATGTACAAGCTATAGTTCAGTTGATTTAACATCATAGTTAATGCATTCTGCGCTGCAAATGATTTCCGAATGCCAATAATTTCAATTATATTTAAAAAATGACAATAATAGAGCCAAAGGAAATACACAATTGAAAATTCTCTTAATTTTACAATTAGTTTGAACATGTACTTCATCAACATTTCGTGTCTGTTATCCAAAAGACCGATGTCTAAAAACTAGACATGGGAATTATTGCCACTTTTAAATCATATTCACTTATTGAAATGTTTGGTTTTAGTCACAGTGATTTCAAATGTGATTGTGAGTTCGTCATAGACAAAGATAAATGGCATTAAAGTCGATCAAAATTATTTTTATCAAAGATATAGATTAGACTTTTCGCGAGTCTTGCGCTAGCTAATAATAATAATTAAAACTAGCAGCAGCAGTGGTTTTGTAATCTATCAGAGGTGTGATATAATGATTTATAAATCATATGATTTATTACATACGATTAGATTGGATTTCATTCCATCCCTACCAGAAATTGAATCGATTAATAAGCTTCTAAACAACTCATGCCGTAAACAGCTAATTAGAAAGAGTGAAAAAGAAATCTCCGACAGCCATAACAGGTATAGTAGATAATGACGGAAACAGTTTTCACTTTCCGTACATATGTCACAGATGGACGTATCATTAAGGTGCAACATATCAACATGGGTGCCCTTAGAAATCGTCATGTTCTTTCTGTGTACAGCTCGATAGAAAATACTAACTTTTATACTTTCACGTTTCATGAGATATAATCATGTATACCTACAGGAACGAACGTAATCACGTAATAGGTTTTATCTTTGCATTGCCTCACTTTTGATCAGGTTGCACTGGCCGTGGACACGAGCTGACTTACGCTTATTTTTTATAAAAGTATATTTCCACAAAACGACACGAAAAAATACCACATAGAAAACCGAGGTCGGTGACTGATCTTGAAGCACTTTAAAGTTTGGCTTGCTAGAGACGTTGTGCTCGCCGCCAGAGCAATAATCGGACTTACATAATAGGTTGAAAATCAACTATTAAATGGTGGGGCCAAAGGTAAAGAATACTCGTAGGTTAACGAAAATTATTACTAAAAGTTGAAGTAACTTAGTTATACGAGATTCATCGTTCAATTCCGTAGGTTTAAGATTAGGAAAACAAAAAATATCTGATTATTTTATTTCTTCATCATTTATAACTTTTAAATACACAGCTGTCACACGCAGCTCTGCATTGTCTATTGTAGGAAAAGGATTGCATAGTTATCACATAGTTTACATCCTATTAATCATCATAATGTATGTCAGCAATGAGGTCTGTAATTATTGCCTCAAAATTTCTTGATGTCTAGATTACATAAGTAAACTTCATACCAGAATCCGACTTGCAATACTAACGCTCTCAATAACCAAATCCATTTACAGAATATTGACACGGCAAGCGTAAAATGACTGACAGCGCCCTTGACTACTTGCTAACTTAGCATCAACAGGTATATTATTCGAGAGGTCACGAGAACCAACTTAGAATTTGTGTAGGAAGGGGAATCTTTCTTCTTTGAGTATGTTTTTGCTTTACAGTTATTATTAGAACGTGAGATAAAATGAAAATAAACGTAAAATGTACTATTGAACGGAAGTGACGAAAAAAGTAAGTCCATTGGCTCAATCATCACTTAAGTACCATCAAGTGACTCTGTTTGCTCTCTATATCATAAAAAAAGTACCAAGTGGCCGATAAATTGCAAACACAAATATTATTGTGTGTATGATTGCGACGTCATTCTATGCCTAATATATTAAACGGACAGATTTTTAACACTGACACTGTAACTATTTATAGTTGATGATTAACAAATTTATTAAAAAACCTGACTGCGTGAAAATGTAACTAAACTTAAAATTTGCCAATTTGAATTTTTGTAATTTACATAATATAGCCAATTTCACTAATAATTAAGACGAATCTAATGACACCTCAAACCCGTACGACAAATTCATCAAGCTGTTTATTACGCAGACTTATCGACGGTAAGCGGCATTTAATTTCATAATTATTTCTGCAGGTAAGTAATGGTTTCTTGTCTCTCACTAAGGGCACTTTCTCATTTATTCTTATTAACCGACTACAAAAAAAGGAGGGGTTTCGTAATTTTATTGAAATTTTTTTTGTTTGTTAACTCAGAACTTCGTCATATATGAACTGTTTGGAATATTCTTTTCGTATACCTAGACTTATATATATACTTCCCGTTTGGTCTCCTTTAAATTTGAAGAAATCATTCCAACCATTAAGGATGTAGAATACAGTTTACTATAATTTATTGTGATGTAGGCACATTGAATTCATTCTCCATTCTTCTCTTCCAACATTTTCATTCTCAGGGTTTGTGGAATAGCCTGAGAATGAAGATATTCATAAAGTAATTATTTTTATACAAAATTCGACAATATCTTAAAACAATTACTTTCATTTTATTATTTATCTGCTGACCCTCTGATTAAATTATGAAAGCAGCGAACGTACAGGTAGAAAGCCTTACTCTTGAGGTCGCTTCGAACCTAGAATACACAACTGTGAACATCTGACTAGTTTCAGACGTCGTATATTTCACACGTGCTCTATACGACAACACACCTTTCACATTTAGCTAAGTATACACGTATGCTACAACCATTGGTATTCATCGGAGTTGGGTTCGGTTCGTCTTTGGCAGACGGAAGTGACTCTCCGCCTATTGTTTCCCGGATCCAATGAACGTTTTTTAGGTCGTTATGGGTGCGTTGAATAATTTACGCTGGCAACAACGACTTTAGGAATACTTGTTATGCTAATATTGAAACAGCTGTCATGTTTTAAGTGAAAATAATGAAAAAGAAATGTGCATGTGGATTATGGTGTCATCAAATTGTGTTAACTTTGAGCTGTTATATGTGAAAAGAGAGAAAGTCTGTTTGTGTGAAATGTCTACTACGTGATAATTGAGAATTGTCTTTTTACACAAACATATAAATATATTTATTGAAGATAAAATGACAACTGTTGTTTTAATTTGATTGGTTTTGTGCAATGTTTTTTTTGTATTACAGCAAAATTATTAGCATAAAACAAAAAATACGACTAGCTACATGTAGTATGTTATATATAATATTTACCCGGCAACTTTTTTTTGAAATAAAAAAAGAACTATTTCAAATAAATGATCTATGAAAATATGACATAAATAAATTCTATTGTTAAGCAGTAGATGTTTAATTCTACAAGAATTTTTATTTTTTTACGAATCAGGTTAAAGTGACTAGCCAATTTTTAAAAAAGAAAAAAATACGTTCAGGATAGTTCATTATTCTATTTTAACACGTTATAACACTATTTTTAAACAAAGCTAAGACTTGCTCTATTCGACATTTTTTTGGGTTTGTTAGTTAGTTATAAGTTGGTTCTTTTCGATTAAAAAAAAATTACCTTTTACAATTTTTTTTTTAAATATTTAAATAACGAAGAATACAAATTATTATGATTTTTAGACTCATCAAAGTCAAAAAAAATGACACGGACTTTGAAGCGTCTAAAAAATAATATTAATTACTAATAAATTAACGTAACTTTTGCCATACTCATAGAATCAGAGCACCCGGATTTTGTCTAGAGAAACACGAATAATCAAAAACTCTAATCGTTATAAAAACGTCAAAATGTAGATGCTGAATCATAAAATATCGTAAAATACAACACTTTCAATCGAGAGACATGACGTCCCCGACGGCTGTAAATAGCAAAACACTAGTTAGTAAATTCCAAGAGCGAGCACCGCATCATCAGTAAATCATAATGACAAATAGAAAGCTAGTGACACATTGCTATGAGATAGTGCGTGGATAATCCAACACAATGTGACGTAAAGGGCTGGTCTTCAGACGGTATAAGATGTGTTTTTTTGTGGTCCAAAGGAGCAGATGATGGTAGATCACTGCCGCTAATGGACCTGCCACTGAAGAGACACTAGAGCCATGGCGCTCTTTCGAGTGATTTCTCCAGAAGAAGAGCGGGGGGTTTGGCCTGCGGTAATAAATTGACAAAATAATTTTGTAATCTTTATATGTATATAAAACTAGCTGGTATCTGGCCTAAGTTACTCCTTTTATAGACCGTACCTGGTAGTAAATTATTATCAAAATCGGTCAAGTCGCTTTAAAGATTACCCGGAACAAACAGACAGACCGACAGACAGACAAAAAATATTCCAATTGGTTTTTAGTCGTAGGTATCGTGCAAATAACAGTGCGAGCGTGGAAAAAAACTCTTATTTTAACATTATAAACAGACACTTCAATTTTATTTATTTGTGTAGATTGTATAGATGTTGTTGTTTTTGTGTAGATTGTAAAAGTTGGTTTGTTTAAAGCGTACTTAAAAACTCAATAGGTTCTGGACCGATTACCCAAACTTTGACACGATATACAACCCGTTTCAAGACCGTTTTTATCTATTTTTTCGCGTCAGTTTTGTTACTAATTTTGCTTTCGTCAGAAAGGTGGTTTTGGCCTACTTTTGGCTAGTAAGACAATACTATTTAAATTTTTAATAA